GACAAATGAGAGAGAGGGAGAGGGAGAAGGAAAAGGAGGGAAGAGAATGAGAGAGAGGAGAGAGAGAGGAAAGAGAGAGAGAGAGAGAGAGAGAGGAAGAGAGAGAGAGAGGAGGATGAGAGAGAGAGGAAGAGGGGAGGGAGAGAGAGAAAGAGAGAGACAGAGAGAAAGGAAAAGGGAGAGAGGATAGAGAGAGGAAGAAAGGAGAGAGGAATGAGAGAAAGGAGAGGAGGAAAGAGGGGCACGGCAATGAGAGACTGGACGAGAGGGAGGGAGGTGGGGAAGGGAGGAATAAGCCGAGAAGGGAGGAAGGAAAGGGAGGAAGGAAAGGAATGAGGAGAGAGAGAGAGAGAAGGAAAAGGGAGAGAGGAATGAGAGAGAGGGAGGAAGGGAATGAGAGAGAGAGAGAGAGAGAGAGGAAGGAAAGGAGGAGAGAGGGGAATGAGAGAAAAAGGAGGAGGTGAAAGGGAGAGAAGGAGAGATAGAGAGACTAGAGAGAGAGGAGAAGTAGAGGAGGAAGGAAAAAGCAAGGAGGGAGGAAAGGAAAGCGGTTGAGAGGGTGGTGGAACGGGAGGGGGTTGGATGAAGGAAGTAGGAAGAGAGGGAGGTGGGGGAAGGAAGAGAGGGAGAGGAAAGGGAGAGAGGGAGGATGGAATAGAGAAGGAGAAAGGAAGGGAGAGAAGAAGGGGAATGTGAAAGAGATGGAGTTGGGAAAGGGAGAGAGGGAATAAGAGAGAGGGATGAAGGGGAAAGGGAAAAGAGGGAATGAGGAGGAAAGAGGAGGGAAAGGAAAGGGGAGAGAGGGAGGAGCAAAAAGGGAGAGAGGGAATGAGGAGAAAGGGAGAGAGGAATGGGAAAGATACAGGAGGGAAAGAGGGAGGGAAGGGAATGAGGGAAAGGGAGGAACCAAAGAAAGGGAGAAAGGGGAAATAAGAGAGAGAGAGATGGGTAAAGGGACGAAGGAAAAGAGAGGGAATGGAGCCTTTTCCTCAGGCTTGGGAGGGAAAAACTGGAGATAGAGAACGCGAGACAGACGGAGTGAAATGAGGATACAGCGCCCTAGGAATGAGAGGAATCGGGAATTATGGAATCTCGAGCAGTGCACCTTGGCCTGGAACCTGACGAAGGCCCCGAAGGAAGAGGTCATATGAGGACATGCGCTTAATGTTGTTATCAAACCAGTGTCCATAAAAAAAAAAAAAAAAAAAAAAAAAAAAAAAAAAAAAAAAAAAAAAAAAAAAAAAAAATAAATAAATAAAAATAAAAAAAAATAAATAAATAAAAAATTGTTTTGTAATTCTTGCAAACCGCCATCTTTAACATGGACGTAGATATATTTACGTAATTACATCCAATAAGGTAAATATATCGATGTTTCTGTTATAGATGAGAACTAAAATCAACATAATATTTCACAAATGGTCTGAAAACGCCTTTGAACTGAATCACTAAAGACATTTAATGGAACTGATAGACAGAAGAACATGATAGACAGAAGGGATAACGTGACCATAAATGACTCGATATAACGAACTTTACTTTACGCCGGGCTTCGTTCATCTCACTCAGGTGGCGCTCAAATACAAATGAATTAATATGAAATAAAACCGAATAACGTTTAAAGAGTGACAAGATAGGAATAATGGAAATGAAAAATAAAGCAAAACAAAAAAACGAAATTATTTTCTATAAGAAACTGACGCTGAAAATATAATGACCATTGGTTGAAGGAAATAAAATGAATATATAATGAACATGATAGAACCATGATGCAGATTTTACATTTTGTAATATTCTGCGATCAATGAATCCTGATTTTCAAAATGTATGATAGTAACAAACTATAAAGATATATTAACTACCTGATAGTATATTGTATTCTCTATCATATCTAATATATTTTGAATAGTGAAAATGACAAAATACGTATGGCACATAATGAAACAAACATACATCAAATGTAACAAAGTTATAGGTAAAATATATCATATATCATAATTGATTTCTTGAATTTCCATAGAAAAGACAGAAAAAAAAACAACTAGTCTACCATTAATAACCATAATTATCAATGTAACCAAGTTCAAACTTTACCGTATGTAGATGCAATCACTCATTTTCTTGCATATAATCACAACGCGTTTAAAATATTTCATAAAACAACTGCAACCACCTTGATTTTTCGTATCCATATTTACAATGCCTTTACGAATTTATCAATTGGAACAAATATTTTTTTCCAACCATATCCGGAGCAGACATGATATACGTTAATTTGCAAACCAGTTTTAAATACTTATATCCACTCACAATCAAATTCGAACTTAATTATCAACTTATGCAAACCAAAGTCTTAAATACTTATATCCACACAATCACAATCACAATCAAATCACAATTTAATCATCAGCAACAATAACCCTTTTGCAACCAACCACCTCATCACCTTCCCAGACACAGGCATAAACAACGACACTGAGCCTAATTCCATGCAACATTGCCCGTCTTGCAACCGACCTTCTTGTTGTCCTCCCAGAATTTGGGAAGGTCATCGGCAGGAGGGTATTTGCAGCATGACATTTCAATGGTGATGTCCATGCAACCGTGCCAGACGTAGTTGTAGTCCTGCATGCCACCTGCAAAAGAAAATGCAACATTATGGGTTTGGTGATTCGTTGGCTGCGGTAGATGGGGAGGGAATGGGGGGGGCGGGGGGGGGGGGGGGGGGAACAGAAGAGAAAGGATGGAGAGGGAAAGGAAAGAAAAAGGAACAGAAGGGAAGAGATTAAAAGGGAAGGGAAGGGAAGGACAGGAACAATAGCGAAAAGAGAAGGGAATGGAGGGAAAGGAGAGATGGAAAGGGAAGGAAAGAAAGGGAAAAGGAACGGAAGAGGAAGGGAAGGGGAAGGAGAGAAGGGAGGAAAGGAGAAGGAAGAATAAGTGGAGATGAGAGAGAGAGAGAGAGAGAGGAGAGAGAGAGAGAGAGAAGAGAGAGAGAGGAGGAGGAGAAGAGAGAGAGAGAGAGATGAAAGAGAGAGAGAAAGAGAGAGAAAGAGAGAAAGAGAGAGAGAGAGAGCGGAGAGAGGAGAGCGGAGAGGAGAGAGAGAGAGAGAGAGAGAGAGTAAGGAGAGAGGAGAGAGAGAGAGAGAGAGAGAGAGAGAGAGAAGAGAGAGAGAGAGAGAGAGAGAGAGAGAGAGAGAGAGAGAGAGAGAGAGAGAGAGGAGAGAGAGAGAGAGAGAGAGAGAAGAGAGAAGAGAGAGGAGAGAGTAGAGGAGAGAGAGAGAGAGAGAGAGAAGAGGGAGAAAGGAAAAGGAAGAGAGAGAAAGCGGAGAGAGAGGGAGAGAGAGAGAGAGAGAGAGAGAGGAGAGAGATGAGAGAGAGAGAGAGTGAGAGAGAGAGAGAGAGAGATGAGAGAGAGAGACGGAAAGAGAAGTGAGAAAGAGCGAGAGAGAGAGGAGAGATGAGAGATGAGAAGAGAGAGAGAGAGAGAGAGAGAGAGAGAGAGAGAGAGAGAGAGATGAGAGAGAGAGACGAGCGGAGTAGGAAGAAAGTGTGGTGGCGACACAGGGGGCTGGAAGGGGGTAAATAAATCGAGAAAAAAAAATTACAATGATAAAAAAAGAAAAAGAAAAGAAAAATCGTCCCAAACTTTAATCAATGTAGGCAAAGTTTGAGAGACATTTTTTTTTCAACTTTTTCATTTTTGTAAAGAGAGTTGGATGGCAATATTTCTTGCAGAGTTCCCCTGAAAGTGATAGTCCTTTAATTAAACATCAAACTCATTTAAGATCCTCTCATATTCTTACAACAATAGCCTAGTAACTACAGCATGTATTCCTACAGTGATCTGATTCTAACAAACGAAAATACAGTGTGTAAAATATCACCAAAAGCTGTATATAAACGCACACTAATACAACGAACACCGACATACACACAGATACACATCAAACAAAAACGCACATACACACACAGAACACTACACAGGAAACAGTCACACAAACACACATAAAAAAACAAAACATAAACACGATTACACTCGATCATACACATGTAACTGGAAACGCAACGACAAACAGCTAAAAATATACACACATGAAAACACATGCACACACGCACGAAAAATGTACATGACACTAATGAAATACTATACACGCACAGCAAAATAATACATATATAAATAAACAATCCAATAACACAACAACAAATAATAATAATAATAAATAACAATATAATTATAATAATAACAATAAAATATTATTAATATACCACTACCATTACTACACCTAAAAATGATAATAATGAAATTATAATAATAACATTACTACTACTACTACTATTACTACTAATAATAATATCGAAATGATAACGATATTACAACTACAACTACAACTACTACTACTAATAATTTTAAATAAATAAATCGAATAATATAATATTACTACTACTACTACTTAAAACAATGAAAATAAATACTACTACTTACTAATAATTAATAATGATAATAAAACAATAACAATAATATTAATATAATACAAATAATGAAATGATTAATGAAAGAAAATAAAAAGAATATTAACTACTTAATTAATAACAATAACGAAATGAGAACAATTCACACTACTAATAAGAACAATAACGAAATGATAACAATAACATCCCACTACTACTAATAACAATAAATATGATAACAATAACATTCCTACTAATAAGAACAATAACGAAATGAGAACAATAACATCCCACTACAACTCCTAAACAACCGAATAGCAAAACCGACAAGCAGGGGGGCAAGCGGGCAGGCAGGGGGGGGGGGGCTTACCGGTGAGCGGGTTACCAGGCGGCTCCGTTGGTGGTGCCGTTGGCGAAGGTGGGCGCGCCGGGCTTGCAGGGGAGGCCGAGGTGCATGGAGGCGTGGTTGAAGGCGTAGAGGCTGGCGATGTGCTTGAACACGTCGTGGTCGGGCGTGAGCGAGGGCGTGGAGGTGAACTGTTGGAAGACTGACGGGAGAAGAGGCGTCAGGCGTTGGGGGAACGGTTGGGGGGGGGGGGGAGAGGGGAGAGGAAGAGAGAGAGAGAGGGGGGGAGGAAGAGGAGGAGGAGGGGGTCGGTGTGGGTGCGTGTGTTTGTCTGGTGTTTGTGTGTGTGTTTTTTTTGTCTGTTTGTTTTTTTGGTCTCTCTGCGTATTGTGGAAGGGTGGGAAAAGAGTTCAAGAAGGGTGAGAGTGTCGCTATATTTACGCTATCTTGGCGCTATAACAATACTCAGTTACACAATAACCATCACCTAAATATTTTACATTAAATATCTAATATAAAATAGTATTAATTAATTGGCATCTTTCCCTTCTCCAATTTTCCTAATAAAATGCATGTATTGATATATATTTTAAGCTGAACTTTATATTTCTATAAACGGAACTTTATATATTTCTTATTCAAATTGAACATAAAAAAAAAATCTGTGCCAGGGTAGCGTAAATACAGTAAATATAATTTCATGTCATATAGTCATGTCATGTCATGCATTAACGTGTGAATATGACAGTGCTCTTGTGACGTCACGGTGTGTCACTGATGAGAAGTTGAGATGAATATGAATAAAAAAAATAAATCGATGAATATAGAAACGAACACAATAAATAAACATAAACATAGCATAAGCATCGTTGGAATAACATGTACTGGAGGAATAACTGAAAAAAAAAAAAAATAAGTGGAAGAGAGAATGAAATTAATAAAAATGTAATAAGTATAGAGGAAATATCAAATACTGTCATAGAGATGTAGTTACACATACAGTCATGAGCTGAACGAAGTTGTAAGAAAATCATAAGTGGCGCTGATGACTTAGAGTTGCTTATGCTCCGTGTATTCAAATGAACATTGATAAGAAAAAGAAAAGAAAAGAAAGAAGAAGAAGAAGAAGAAGAAGAAGAAGAAGAAAAGAAAAAAGAAGAAGAAAGAAGAAAAAGAAGAAAAAAGAAGAAGAAAAAAGAAGAAGAAGAAGAAAAGAAGAAGAAGAAAAGAAGAAGAAGAAGAAGAAGAAAAGAAGAAGAAGAAGAAGAAAAAGAAGAAAAGAAGAAGAAAAAAAGAAAAAAAGAAGAAGAAAAAAGAAGAAGAAAAGAAGAAGAAGAAGAAGAAGAAAAGAAGAAGAAGAAAGAAGAAGAAAAGAAGAAAGAAGAAAAAAAAGAAGAAGAAAAAAGCGAAAAAAGAAGGAAGAAGAAGAAGAAGAAGAAAAAGAAGAAGAAAAAAGAAAGAAAAGAGAAGAAAAGAAGAAAGAAGAAGAAGAAGAAACAACAACAAAAATTGACTACTTGTAAACAAATCCCAGACGACCAAGAGAGGCACCAGGAAAGTAAGTGAAACCGGGCGTGCAGGTCCCGTAGATTTAAGCGCCGAGGCCCAAGACCGGCTCGAAAGGAACGCATTAAACAAGTCAAAAAAAAAAAAAAAAAAAAAAAAAAAAAAGAAGAAGAAGAAGAAGAAGAAGAAGAAGAAAAGAAGAAGGAAGAAGAAGAAGAAGAGAAGAAAAAAGAAGAAAGAAGAAAAAAATGCAACAAAAAGAGAAAATAAAATGAAGAACTGAATCCATGGCGGTCCAGGAGAAAGCGGATTTGTATTCAGGTTGGAAAACAGAAGAAAAGGAAGAAGAAAAATAAAAAAGGTGAAGAAAAAGAAGGAAAGAAAGGAGAAAGAAGAAAGAGAGAAGAAAACGAAAAAGATGAAAAGAAAAGGAAGGAGATGAAGAAATAGGAGAAGAAAATGAAAAGAAAATGAAGAAAAAGAAAGAATTTTGAGCCTCCTCGCAAAATAAACAGATTAAAACTTTAGAAAAAAAATTACAGACAAACAGGTAGATAAACTGATGAATCAGATGGAACAGGACAAACTGATCCACAGATTGACAGTCAGACAGATATCTTTATCACAGGAAAGTGAAATATTGTCTGTAATCTTCATCTACCATTTGAAAAAAAATAAAAAATGCAGAATAATCAAGAAAAGATAATTGATGACATTGTGTGAACATAAAATGGCGATGATGATAAAAGTCAAGGAAAGTGTTCGTTGTAAACATTGGCAACAAGTTGGTGAGTGTTGTGGAAATGTTGTGGATAGAAAAAGAAGAACGATCATTTAATTCAAACTTCAATATATATGCAGTTTTCACACATTTTTTAAATATATCTGATCAACATTAAGATCACATTGATTTAAAGGAATGAGATATCCGATATCAGCAATATACAATATATCATGATTTAAACGACGTGCAAGCTCTCAACAAACACCAACAAAACAACAAATCGGATTCACAAAGGAAAGGAATAACTTCTAACTCAAAACAAACGGCAAACGCATCACACAAACGGAAGCAAACGACGGCACAAACCAAGCCAAAGGAACTACCCATGCAGCGCTCCACAGACCATGCGAGCACATTTTGGTACACACACAGAGAGAGCTGGGCACACGCAGGTACACAGACGGGGTATACACGGGTTCCAGAAATGAAAACAAACTACATAGTTGGGCACACAAGCATACACTCGTATAGCTGTTATACAAGTATACACACGTTATACTGTCTTTCACTATGAAGATTTTAATAGCATATACATACACGCGTATTTGGGCAAAGGTATGTATTCGCAAAGACACACAGGTTCTTTGCAGTGCCTGTGGAAGTGACAATATTTACCATCTCTCTCTGCTCTCTCTCTCTCACACACACACACACACACACACACACAGACAGCACACAGGTTTTCTTTGCACGCTAGCCGCACATGACAGCGACCGCACATCACACACCACACTCAGCGATCCGATGAGCAGCCAATCACACTCTCAACATACGATTACTCAATACAATTATCTCCTTCCTTCATTTCCCTCATCTTTCGATACTACACACCGCATAAATGAAGTAAGAGAATATATGTGTATGATTAATATCAGGTAACTATACGCAATAATGGTAGAGAACACTATAGCGTCTGAGAGCTGAGAAGCACCGCATTGTAGTTCAATGCCAACAGCCTACCATACAACAAGACCATATGAAACTCGTGTCCGACACTGGACTAAATACATGTGTGTTGTCATTGTTCTTGAATCTCTCTCTTCTGTATTAGTATTTATGGTTTGTTGTATTATTCTGTATGTATGTATCTATTGTATCTCACAAGATGATACAGAGGAGCATGAGCTGGACAGATAGGTAGGAGTCTAATTGAGAGCACGAGGACGTAAACACCATGACGAGTGCTTAACACACGTTGATATTCACGGTAGCAGATTCGCTTCTAGATATTATTACCAGTTGTTTCGGATTTAGGACACAGTATATAATAAGATACAATATCACTAAATAGTGTCACGGATATTAAATATCAGTTAGTATTGATAAATATGATTAATGCAGTATGAGAGGTACTATACGGGTTTAAACATCCAAACAAAGTCAATATTGTTATTTCTCATACTTATCGAGAGCCTCTTAAGAGCGATATCTAGAGGGTAGGTTGACGAGTCGTTATACTATGGTATTATTTTTATTTTAATAGAGTAGCTATATAACTTATTAATATGTGGAGTATTCTGGTTGCCAAACTACTTATTTAATGAGTGAGAGAGCAGGTATCTATCAGCTCATTATATTTATCATAGGACTCCTCATTTACGAATGTTCTTATGGAGCAGGCACTGAGTATAAAACATGCGAGATGAACTCCACATCATAAAAAACGGAAATTATTAAAGATAATTAATTAGAATGTCACGAGAGATTACTGGAGATAAGATCACAAATTAAAATTAATAATATGAATTGGAGTGATCTAATAAGTTACAGGATCAATTAACATAAACTACATGAGAGTGGAGCGAACTGTATACATATCTTCTATATGGTCATCAGGCATGAATCTTCTATATATGACGCGACCCGGGAAGACAATTCGTAGTAATAAGCACACAGACGCACTGCGACGGCTCATAATATCCACATGCGACGCAGAGATTGGATCAGTTCAGGAGGGTGCGGCGAGGAACTTTTGAGAAAAGCCTCGAAAATCGATTTCAAAATGATGATTATGGTGATTTGGGGTAATAATGAAGCTGGTGATGAATAATAATGATGAGGTAATGCATTGATGGAGAATAATTGATTGTGGGGATGAATAAGAGAGTAAGTGGGGGCAGTAGAGCACGAAAAGGGTAAGAATGTGGCGTGAAAGAAAACCTCAAAAAGAAATTGGATTTTTTTTTTTTTTTTTTTTTTTTAGGATTTTGAAATTATCATTTGATATTCATGACTTTTTTTGGGGGAATATCATGGACTTGGACTTCTAAGAAAAGAAAAGAAAAAAAATTTAGGTATCCCTTTATCAAGCCAAAAAAAAAAAAAAAAAAAAAAAAAAAAAAAAAAAAAAAAAAAAGGTGTCAGAAAAGAGAGAACCAAACAAACAAATAAAACAAAACAAATAACAAAGAGCGCCACCACACCTCACCACTCGCCACCGCACTTCACAAAGCATCATCATCAATCCTCATGCCTCCTTCTCCTCTCTCTCCTCCTTTCCTCTTCTTCCTTCTCGCGCACTCACCGCTTTCGGAAATCAACCCTCCTCTCTATCTGCCTTCCCCATTCGTCGACTTTAGCAAACGGAGGAGAAGCAGCCAATCGTGAGCTGGAACGTGGAGGCCAAGGACTCACTCAATGGACTCTCAGGCTGGGCTTCAAAGGCTCTCTAAATCCCTCTCTCTCTCTCTCTCTCTCTCTCTCGTTTTTTATAGAATTCCTAATCTCTAAATCTCTCTCTCTCTCGTTTTTTTTTATCTATTATTATTTTTTTTAGGAAATTATAGTACTAAATTCCTCATCTCTTCTCTCTCTCTCTTTTCGTGAGCTGGAAGCGTGAGGCCAAGGACTCAACCTCAGTGGAAACTCTCCAGCTGGGCTTTCAAAAGGCTCTCTAAATCCCTCTCTCTCTC